TGCGCTGCACCTGATTCTTCTCTCCAATCCAACCGTTGTGGATCCATGCGCATGGTACTAAGGTGTACCTCGCCGCACTGGATCCTCCTAGATCCCTTCGGCACTGCAGTCACTGCCGGTGGCGCTCCGGTCGCCGGAAAGTCGCCGGAAAACTGCCGAAAATAAAAAAAATCCAGAAAAATTCTAAAAAATCCCAGAAATTCCTGAAGCCTAATTTAACCATCTTGGACCTTCTTGAAGCTTCATAGCATCCTTTGACGATGATTACATGACTTTAAAAATAATTACAATTTGAAATACAATGGAAAAAATTAAATTACATCATTGAACTTTCAAACGGCTAAATCAAAGCCTTAATTACATTCATCCAAAAATAAAATTACATTCCAATAACCTATAAGCTTCATCCATAACCCAAAAATTCATCATCATCTATTCACAATTATACATACATCACCATGTATTAATATATATCAATATATTAAATCATACATCAATAAAAATATATATTAATATAATTCTGGATCCATGAATGATGAATTTTGATAAAAACATGATCTCTAGTAATGAATCAAACTATGCTCTGATACCACTGTTGGGAAACGTGCTAATTTTAAAAACTTTTCGAGGGATTTTGATTCATAGATCTTGATTCATCACATAGAGACAAGTTTTATGCAAAAATAAAATATGATGTATCATTCAATTAACAGATTGAAGACTTACATCAAAGGTTCCGTAAACCTTTAAAACTTTCCTCTAAAGTGAATATTTTCACTTATTGTAGATCCCTTAGCAAGATGCCTTCTCCTTAGATCTCCATCTTCTTGGTAATTGTTTTACTTTTAGGAATCACTCATATGCCTCCATGAATGACCTTTGAAAATTAGACTTGTGGAAGCTTCCATTAGATGAGAATATAAACCCTAATTTTCTAGAGAGAGAAAATAGGTTCCTTTTTCCTTCTTCCAAAAATCACCCATAAAATATACATAGACCATGTATATTTATAGGCAACATAAAAATAAAGAAAAGGAAACAACAAATCGTTCTCAATTTCTAATTCATATGTCTCAAATCTAATATGATTCCAATATCAAGTTGGGCTATGAGTGAGAATCCATTGGGCCTATTATTTTATTGGCCACAATGAATTAATAACTGGCCCGGTCCATGGACCCAATTCAATTCATAAATTAATTTCTACTCCACTAAAAGAAATTAATTGAACTCCAATTAAATAATAAATAACCTCTAAGTCAATATTGCACTTTGACCTCTCTATGCATAATTAGTTATCGGATAAATAAAGCCATCAATCCGACTACTTAATTAATATATTTATTTTGGTACCATTGATTATTTCTGACTCGATCACAATAAAACATTTGTTTGACAAAAATAATACTTTAATAAATAAATATATAATAAATCATTTTGTCTAAAACCACACGAAGGCCTTCGAATTTACTTTGTGATCAACCATAATTAATACAAAATAAATACAAGTAGCAATGATGCAAATATTGAAAATATAACCCTCTAACTATTAATTACATAACTATCCAAAGTATCGGTCTAAGGATCCCGAAGAATCCGCCAAACAAATCAAAGTAATTATTAACTAACAAAAGAGTCTATAATTTTCTCATGCTTAAGAGTCAAATGCCATGACGTTGATAGGGAGCAATTGCATACGATAACTCTCGCAATATACCTCAACCTAACGCGGATCCAGTTCAAGTCTTAATTAATTATGAGTCCATCCATAATTACCGATTATGAACCATTTATAATTACTATTTACATTCATGTATTGATCGCCATCACATACATATATAAATATCTTTTATAATCAAATGGACACTATCAATTCTATAATGAATCGAAACATAATACATTGAATTCACCAATTGTATAAAACATAAATATTTCAGAAACGTTAGGAACATATGTCACTATAATTTAGATAGGAATTTGCTATACCAGGCATATAAATCCCAACACAAATAACATCAATGACACTCTAAAATAGACATTCATTTTAGAACTTGTGGTAAAGTATTGAAAGTTAAAATCAGACAAACAGATAGCTGGTGTTATGCAAGACAATGTCTGTGATTTTAAGACTTGGCTGTGCCTGTATGTTATGATCATTAGCTTTAAATTTTGCTTCCAAATTCTGTATTGTAATTTTTAATTTTCTCGGTATCTGAATGTGTATTTTTATTTTTTTACCATCTATTCGTAGGTCATACCTTCATCTCTATCTTCAATGTCTATTTCCCTCGATCCATTTTTCACGCACTACATATTTACTACGCAGTGTATGTTCAACTTTGGAACTAACATCATCTTTTGGATGGTCAGGCTTTTGAAGATTTGCCTTCCATGGTCATTACTGTAGTTTGAGCTTCTGGATATATATGTATATATACACTACGTATATATTTTGTGATTTTAATATCTTGTCATGGGTCACGAGTCATGACAAAAAAAGAGTCACGGGTCACGAGTCACCTAAGGGTGCATAACGGGCCGGCCCGCGGTCTTGGGAGCCCAGGCCCGAGTCTGCGGGCTTTAATTTTTAATGGGCCAGGCCGGGCCTAAATTCATTTTAGAGCGCCCAAGCCCGGCCCTTGGACTTGACATGACGGACTGCGGGCTTAAAACGGGCTTTTATTATTATTAGTTTCTTTGTAAAGCAATCCATTTGCATGAATTTGAATTTTACTTAATTTATGAAACAATTCATTATAAAATGTAAGTTCACAAACTTTACTTTGGTTACTGGAACTTTAAAACTTAAGCATGAAATTTTAAAACAATTAACTTAAGTCTTATGTAAATTTAACATGTCTTATATAAAATCTAGTAACTAGTCTTATAATTTATTATAAAACAGTTGAGTTCTAAAATCCAAACTAACTAATGTTTGAATCCCATAAAAGAATATGGTGTCAATGGTAAAAGATAAAAATTAAAAAACAGTAAAAAATGAAAAACTTAACATAATAGAAAGTAAAAAATGAAAAACTTAACATAATATAAAGTATCACGACTTTGGTGGACGGGCTAGCAGGCCTTTGATGGGTCACGGGCCGGGCCAAGACTTATACCCTATGTAGCATAAGTGGCATAGCCGAAAATTTTCTTCAGTGGTGGCAATTTTTAACGGCAATATATATATATATATATATATATATATATATATATATATATATATATATATATAATTTGAACCAAAATAATATATGTAAAAATTAAACAGTACTAAATATTTTAGAATATTTTTCATATTCTGAAAGGACGCAGTCGAGTTTTCAAAATGTTCATGGCATAATAATAGTAAATTTAGATGATAAAAAAATATATATCAGATTACCTGTCTCCGCACTGTAGTATTTGTTTGGATTTTGTGAATTTTTGAAATATTGAAAACTCGCCGAAAGAGAAATGTTGAAGATTGAAAATGTGATGGAAATTAACAACGCATTTGTTTGTGGTAAAGTCAAAAGTGTCAAAGAATATCTTATATTTTTTGGAAAAATAAGAAAGAATATAATATTTTGAGAAAGTGAAAAAAAAAAATCATATTTTTTGGAAAGATTATATTCTTTTTTTTTTTTTTTTTTTTTTTTTTTTTTTTTTTTTTTAATACGTCATTTGGTTATATATATAATATATATATATGTGTAATGTTAACTTTTACTAGGGACAATTATACAAATATAAAAATCTTTTCATATAAAATTAAAAATAATTAAAAAAATTAAAAATTCAGTAGGGGAAGTTGCCCCCATTTGTCCCTATGTGGCTACGCCACTGTGTAACATGGATATAATACAATATGGATACGTTGACACGTCAAATTTAAATAGAGTAGGACATGGGTACGGCGTAGACACGAATACATAATAATATAAATTTTTATTATTATACATATATTAAGTAATAATATTAAAAAACTTTAATTCATTTATAATTTCTAATTCTATGCTAAGAGTTACTCTAAAATTAATTAGAAAATGAAATTATGCCATTATTATCATAATTTTTATATCATATATACTATTATTTCACTACTTTGTCATGATAGTATTAATTTTTTTTTCAAGAACACTGAATAGACTTGTGTTAGAAACTTAGAAATGTCCGAGAAGTGTCGGTGAAGTGTTCGAAAAGTGTCATTGAAGTATCCGAAATAATAAAATTAAAATTTATTTATAGACACATATATAAAGTGTCGGACACATCCGAAAAGTGTCGATATGCGCCACAAGTATGACTCATTCGTAGAAATATTTGTGCTTCTTAACTTATATCCAGGCCCGTCCCACTATCTTATAGGCCGGGCTCGGCCATTTTTGCACACTTATGCACCCCCCTTCTGGGACATTTCTCCAAGTCTTTTTAAACTAATTTGTGTTAATCATCGAACCAATGGGCGAGAGGAAAACTTTTCGGTAAGAAAAACAAATCAACTCATGGGTCAATTAACAATACTATTAAAATTTAGTGAGACTTGAGGCCATGTTTGGTGTGACTGAATGAAATCAAATGAAGTGGAAATAGACTGTTTTTATTTCCATTCTTTAATTTGGTAACTTACTTTAAAGTTAGAATGATGATTCTTACCCATTCTCCAAGAATAGTGATTCTCACTAATTCATTTCACTTTCCAACTAAAAAAATGACCATTCCATTCCTACTTTAAAAATAATAATAATAAATAAATAAAACATTTAATGAAAGGCCGACTACGTACATATATAAATATATATATATATATATATATATGTTTTACAAAAATAGGATATTTTTCTATACAACCAAACATGGAAATGAAAATCATCATTCCATTTTCTAATTCATTTCATTCAACTACTTTAAAACATATATATATATATATATATACACATTTATATATATTTTATTAAAATAAGATATTTTTTTGTGTAACCAAACATGAAAATAAGAATGAAAATGAGAACGAGAACTATTATTCCATTCCCATTCCACTCCGCTTATTACTTTATGATGTTAGTCAAGAAAAGGATTGGATTCCTAACATTTCGTTTTAGTGCTCTCACCACATACATAGGTTCAAATATATTTTTTTTTTTTGTTAAATTTTGTTCTCTGCTTTACCTTCTCAAGAAGCCGAGTGAGAGAGGAAGTGACTTGACAGAGAGAGAGAAGAGGATGGGGATTATGGATTTCCTGAACTCAACGACCGATAATCTGAAAAAAAAGGCACCCAATCCGACGCCGGTGAAGGATTCATGGTGGAGGAGCTCCTACAATTACGGAAGGACTGCCGTTAACGGCGTCAGAGACAAGGGTGTGAACAAGTACTATCCCGATGATGAAACACGGGCCAAGATCGTCCGTATCGGGACCAAGATCGGCCTGAATGCTGTCAACTATGGCTTAGAGGAGACCCTCAAAATAATCCCTGGTTCGTCTAATTTTTCATATTATATCCTATAATTTTGGTCTAGGGTGGTCAGTGGTGTTCTCAAAGATCCACACTTTACTATATTTTCGTTTATCTTAACTAGTTGATTTTCATACTATTGCATTTGATTTCATTTATTTATTCTTTTTGGTTTGGTGTTGATGCTGAAAATACCAATGAAAAATGGAGATAAATTATGTATTTTTTTATTGTAGAGGTAAAAGGTAGGTAACATGGATAATGATCTGTCTTCATCCTCAGCTGATGGCTACATGTACCAAAAAAATTATAGCAATCACATCCGACAGTCATCATACAATGTATGGTGTGGATGAATTGTGAGCAAAAGATTATTTCAGAGGTAAAAAATATATTCGTTGATTAAAAAATAAAAAAAGGTGAAAAACCAAAGGGTTTAGATGAAAATGAGAGGAAAAGGTGGGGAATGATTTGGAATAATGGTATCATTGATTGTAGCAAATGCAAGGTATGATGCACTGCAGAAGCTGTGTCATATAAGTAATTTGTTTATGTGCAGGTCGAAAGGCATTCGATAAAATTGTTTTGCCAGCAATTCGTGATGAAATGGCACTGCGAGCTATAAGATGAACAGAGCAGGGAAAGGAAAGATATTCGATAAGCACTTTCACTTTGAAAATACGCCCCCTTGGATTTAAGTGCAAATAAAAAACCAGAAGATGTGAATGTGATACCATTGTTCACCATGAATGTGGGTAGAAATGCTTTTGATGGTCTGATTGTTCGAGTGAGTGGTCGCAGGAAGAACCGGAAGTAGAAGGCAGTATCTGGTATGAAGCAGATTAGATTGTGAAAAGTGAAGGGTGTTTTTTAATTTTTAGTGCTGGCATGGTTTTGATTTACTTCGCCTTTTGTAATTACTAAGAAGCCTATTACGTATGCTAATACTGGAGATGAATACAAATTATTGTACTACAAAGAACAACCTTCTCATTACTTCAGTTTAGATGTGCTTAAAGTACATTGACTAGTCGGTTTTCTACAAAGGATTCACTATCTGAAATAGTTGATCAGATCATACTTTACAAGTGGTTTCTGCATCAATTCATTGTACTACCAAGAACAACCTTCTCATTACTCTAACTTCTTTTTGATCTGTTACCTGCAAGCTCAACAAACACACACAACCACGGAAATCTATGAAGAAGATGAACAAATTGTAGTAAAGAAATAACATACAAACATAGGCTAGAGAGAACATTGTTCGAAAATTTACAATTTGCAGAGCCGCATCAGATCTTCACCAGTATTGAATGCCGTTGCCTTGAGGGTTATCTCTATTTCAATATAATGGGACAGAAACCACATGTACAATAGAATTCATCTGGAAAGAAATAATAAAAAATAACTAAACTGAGAGAAAGCAATGGGAAATTGTAGTGTATTGAGTATAAATTTATAACAGCTCCATTCCACACACAGCGCACAGAATAAGTGAAAAGAAAAATCATATTAATTCACTGAAGCCTTATATACAGTAATAACTTCATAATTGTCTCGCCATGCATGATCGATCCCCACCTGTGGGAATCAATTGTAGAATATGAATTAGCGGATGTAGCAGTCAGATTATGTTTCCATTGGAAATAGTGTGTGGATGGTTTTGGTTGGAGGCGGGGGAAGCAGCTCTTAGGCCATTAAAGAAATGAAACCTATTCCGGGATTGAAGCAGAGCCTTCAAGGTGCAAAACTAAACTGTTCTCTGTCAACTGCAAAAGGAGCCACCATTGGGTAGCCAGTGCTTGTACGCAGGAGTAAAAGGAATCGACAGCACAAGGCAATTCCGTTATGAACTAATTTTGAGTTTAAATATAGTTTATGTCAAGAGCTTATTAGCTTTACTGGTATCTCCACTACTTTCCAAGTGACAAGTTGATAGAACATTCTACTTTCATTGAATAGCGTCATGTTTTACATGTCATCTGCTTAGACTGTCGGTCCATCATTGAAGGCTACTGTAAGGTCAGCTTAACATTTAAAAAATTGCCACCATATCTTCTGTGATGATGTCTACTATTTTTTCATAATGGTCCCATTCAAAACAATTAAGTTCATAATAAAAAACTTTATGATGGACCAATTCAATTCCATGTACTTTAAACAAATTTGAAAGACACAGAACATTACTAAAAGCATTTCCGGCCAAACAGGGTAAGGGACGCTTAATCTCCTTCTCACTCTGGTTTGTTGGGTTAGAGAGATTTTCTGATGGATTTACATCTTCATGACAGAAATCTAAAGCAATAGCATCCTGGTTCTATTTTACCTGACAGACAATTTTCATCAGAAACTTGTATGGAAAACTTCACCTATTTATTTCCTGTTTGAGCGTGCACTGCATGACTAGTGATAACTAGATAAACTAATGGACATCAATTAATGAAACAATTTTTTTTTTCCAATAAGATTTATTTTTCTATTATTATTATTTGGCCTTTGGGGTGCATCATGCATGCATATGTGCAAGTTTGTATTGAGAGGAGGGATGGGGGAGTAAACTGTTCATTCAGGTTAAAAGATATAAGGATTTTTACCACATGCCAGGACATCTCGGGTGAAGATCTCAGTCCACATCTTTTATTTCAGCTTCAATGTCAACAACTGCTGCAGAAGAGTCCTTTCCTGTGCAAACCATGGTGACAAAATCAGGATCTCTAAACCACTAAAACCAAAAATAAATTTAGAATTCTGGGAAATAATATGGATTACATCTGTCTCGGAATTTTAGTTCAGCAAAATGGAAGACACAAGTCAACATCTGAATGGGGAAAAAAGGATTTTTGCTTAAAGATAGTGAAGTTGATGTTTTCTCTTCTTCCCCTTTTTTTTTAATTAGTAATATTTGCTTATTTGTTGGTACTTGGAGATAGTGAGGACTAGGAGCACATCTTGTCAATATATAATCATCTAATCATCCAATAATTACACCAACTAATACCAAGATCAAATGTTTGTATTGAAAAATCATTCATTAATTCTTAATCATGTACAAAAAAAAACTTGTAGGCTGCAGTTTTTTTTTAATGGAAATTGATTGCTAGTAAAGAATCTATACTTATCTTTTTCTTAAAAAAAGAAGAAGTTTATCCTACACCTGCAACTTGGCTGCTTAACTCTTTGTTGGAGGAATTTTTCCCCCATGACTATGTCACCTTTCCTGTCCATCTAGAACAAAATCGTATTTATAAGAAGGAAGAAGTTTTTTGCCTCTCTTTTCCAGAAACTGGAGAAATGTGTGTCTTGATTATATTATATTTATATTTGAAACCACTATTTCAAAATCCTTTCCTTTTCACTCTGTAAAGAAATCATTTATGCTAGCTCTGTATGCTTCAGTGGAAGTCATACATATCCCAATCATATACAAAAATTGATTCTAATGGCAGCCTAAACTTGTCCTTTTCAAGTTATGTCATGTGTCTATACCGTAAATTTTCTTTTTTAAAAATGAAAGAAATTTATGTATGATTTAAAATTTAACTTCAGTAACCCATTATGACAAAATCAGCTATTACTAATGTTTGAAGCAATTACTGCTATACGTCAATTATGGATTTTCCTTTGCACCAAATTACTCCCGTAACAAAAGAATTTCATGAAACAAGTTGACCAAAGGCTTGATTTGTCATGATGCAGTATCTCATAGTCACAGAAGACAAATAGAAGCACCAAAATAGTGCCCCTTAAAGCATGAACCTGGCTTATCAAACCTGAAATTATTGAACCAGTTTACATTTTTTCAACAACTATCTAATGCAGGTGTTTGTATCAAAGTATCTGCCTTCTATAACAGATTCTAGACGAGGAGAAGCAACGGACTTTACAGGGAGTACCTTTCTTGGAACGAAAAGACATGTTACTGAATGCTTGTCCAAATGTCGTAGCTTGGTCCGGAAAGTCCACAGGATCATTCACAAACTCATTACCTACCACTGAAACAAAAACCAAAATATTTTAGGTAAATAAAATATGGTGAGACTACCTTCTCCATAGAATTCTATGACCAATTGATTTAAATGCAGGAGGATAAAAGAAAGTAACTATACATTCAGCTAAAACTTAAGACATTGCCCCAATGATCACCACCTAGAGCTCTTGGCGTGTTCATAAGTCAAGGAGTTTTCATTGAAATGGATGTACTAATCAACATCTAATCAGCCATACATCAAGACACTCAAAAGCAAAAACAAAAACAAATGACAAAGCCTCAGAAAAAGAATAAGATTGACAATCAGATGTTGCCTTTAGGCTAAAGCCAAAAACCCCTGCCCCTAGGGTACGGTCCTCTGATTGGCTCAAATTCTAAAAGTTCAACATTAGTTGAAAATTTAGCCCATTTTGAAGGTGCATTCAACAAACGCCAAAGCCTCCTGGGGCAGGGTCCTCCAATTGGCTCAGCTTTGAAATTTCCTACATTAATTGCAAATTTGGTCCATTTGAAGTTTCATATATTTAACATATGAACCAATCAGAATTTCATATATTTTGAAAAAAATTATTAATTCCAACAATATAAAAGTTCTGGAAATGAACAAACAAAAAAAAAAAAGAAGGAGAAATTTTAAAATTTTCATGTGCCACATCAATTTTCATCAAACTAAAAGTAACATCAAAACCAAAATTTAACCTTGATTTTGGTTACATTTCTAGTCAAGTACAGCATAAGCACCATAGCCATAAATAAGTAAATTATGCTACCATCTTTAGCATTTATTCCGTTCGCTTGGAGAGATGGAGGATTTTTTATTGGATGAGTTCAGAAAAGTATGCTCAGTCGAAAATTTTCTTAATTAAGCCAAAAAAATTCAGCCTGAAAACATCAAGTTAAATGGTGAGGAAATAATCAAATAAGCGACATACCCAAACACAATTGTTACTAATTCCATTAATAAATAAATAAATAAAATGTAAGTGGAACAACATCATAATTCCAAATAGAAACAAGATAACTTCCTCCAAGATTTATCAACACTTTTGCATTCACAATAAAAGTTGTCGACTTTTAAATATGTAGACTACTGAAAGAGGTAAAAGAATCCGACAATTAACCCCCGTCCCCCATATTCAAAATGTCCAAAATTGAAAAGGTTATAAAAATAATCAATGAACATATGGAATCCTATTCTAGTGGAGTAGAAACGGAGATGAGCAAGCAGTTAAGATTATAGAACAAGAAATGCCAGAGACCATTTCTGTTATCTAGTCTTTACTTATCCATAAAGAGTACAAATAAAAGAGGGTTTGCCCATAGAATTAGAACAAGATGGATGAGGAATGATTCTACAAGGTCATGCAAATATCATTACCTATCAAATTGAAGGATAAATGTTATAAGAAAACCTAAGAGGCAGACATGCTTATTGGTATTTAATGTTGAGTGGTTAAAAAGTACTAAAAAGTAGATGTCAACACGGACGACTGGCAAGATAAGGAATGACTAATGCTGTTCATAGACAGTGAGACATAAGGAGCAGAACCAGAAGCGAAGAAGACGAGAATTAACCTGTTATTAATGGTTTGCTAGGGAAGCAAAGACTCCAGTGAGGACAGACAACGACAAGAGGAAATCAAAAATGAGGCTTACGTGGCAATACAAGACATGTTAGCAAATAGTTTCATTGAGAATATGGTTCTTAATAGTTTAGTGTAGCGACAAGATTTATGTAGCCAACTCCAAATAGGTGGGAAAAAGCTTCATTGTTTAAGTTTGTCTTCTATCAGAATTCAAAAGGCTTCTACTCCATTCTCCAAAAACCTAGCTATAACTACCAAGTTATATGATTGCATTTTATTCAAAGATAAAGTGCAAAACAACCCCCTGCTATATAAAAAATGTGCAAGAAACACCCCTGCTTTTTAGTATGCGCATATATATATATATTTATAAGAAAATTTAGTATGCGTATATAAATCCCTATAATTTGAAATTTGTAGGAAATTGCCTCCTGGTCATCAATTTTGACCAATTCTTAATAAAATTTGTGCATATAAGTGTTTTTTTTTTTTTTTTTTTTCCCGGTTTAAGGCCATTTTAGGTATTTCAGTTGTCAAATTGAGAAAATGTCCTTATTTGCTCGATTTGAAAAATGTAGGTGGGTTTACACATTTTGTATATAACAGGTTTTTTTTTTTTTTTTTTGCACGTTAACCTTTATTCAAAGAGAGAAACCAAAAGAAAAATAAATAAATAAATTTAAAAATCCAAAGAAGGAGGAGCCCAACAGTGAGCTGTTACCTGAGAAAGGTTGACTACAAAAGGGGCACAGCTGCATTTCATTATTTAGAGAAGATCTGAAACAATTTACGTCAGCAAACAAGTTAAATAACTAAAAACAACAAATTCTTTTAAAGGTTTCATAAATTATCTTAAAATTGATAATGGGTTTTAACTGATCTTACTTGAAAACCTGGAAATCATTTCCACAGTTTGGGCACTGCATATAGACCAGAAATTCCAGAAAGGAATTAATTAATAAACGCAGCAGGCAACAGATCATGTTCAACAAACTCTTTCACATCTAAATAGTCACTATTTGCTAGAGTAAAATGATATTTACAAAAAATTGCAAGGAAATACAAATCAGCATCAGAAGGAGATATGTATTCTATGAACGTCGAAAGATCTTTTGTATTTATGAGAGTGCCAGAAAGTGCGTAACTGTATCAAGTGGGTAAGTCACTTGGCCCTAGTGCCTCAAGAAGCATCAAGTCTAAGGTTTTGACTCCTCTTGGGTGCAAACAATTCATTGGAAGGAGAGAGGAGAGGGGGGGGGGGGGGGGGGGGGGGGGGTGGGGGTGTGGTGGTGGGGGTTGATAAAAAATGCCGTATATCGAAGTATATTTTACCAATTAATATGTAGTAAGCACATATTTCTAATAAAAACCTTGCTGCATATAGAACAGTATTAAAAAACAAATACTCACCTTTTAGGTCTCCTATGTTTTAAAACAACTTTAGATATTTTCCAATAAATTTTTTCAGATGAAAAAATGGTTGATGCAATTTTGTAAGATTCATACAAGAATTCATCCCTGGTGGACAACATTCGAAGGCATCACGAATCATCAATTTATTCAGACCTGCCACCTTATAAAGTATCTCCATAATAAGTAGTGGCAAATACTAATTAAAAGATTTCAACCATCTTATAAATGCAAGTTTTTTCCCCCCCATAATCCTTCAAATAATAACAATTGATATTGTGTCTGAAGAATTAAGGACCTCATGCAAGAATCATGACAATAAAAAGATTAGGGTGAATTAGTGAATTCCCTAGATGGTGTAATTTAATCCCATCATATGCACCCCATATTTTGCCAAATCTCATGTATCGACCTACATGCACATAAATGCTATGTTACATGGACTTAGGTACGTGTGTCGGATACAGGTATGTATTTACGCATCAAACGTGTCAAATCACCAAATAGAACACATGGACATTGCTAAATTTTCATATTATTTATTGTTCTTATTGTATTTCTATAGTAAATTAATGTCTTTATGTAATAACATAGCGCTCAATATAGGCATTTCACTTGTTTTGAAGTGATAATATAATAAAATTAAATTTTGGATACATTTTCTAAGTGCATGTCCAACCAAAAGTGTTGGAAACATATCATATACTCATGTTAGAGTACTATCTCTCCAACAGAGGTACTTCACCTACTTTTGAAGAGTTCATGTAACATAGCATAAATTTACGAAAACATCAAAAGAAAGACTATTTAAAAACAATTAAAAACCTAATAGGTATCAGTAAAGAAATTACTCATATCCTCAAAACACAAACTGCTTATTTCATGATTTTTCTAGGCAAGTAAGCTTGTTTACATCTGCTCCATGAAATAGTCAGTAGACAGAATGAAGGATTTTCAGTAGTAAAGCAAAGAAAAGAAGTTAAAGTAGCCTCACACTGCCTTGAAGTATATCTCGTCCTGCCCACCAAATGAAAGCTCCCAAACCCACAATTGGCAGAAGCACCACAAGGAGCTGGATGTGAAAAGTATCCACAAATCAAATTTAGATACAAAATTGGTTCAGTGTCTACATTATAATCAGAAAGGCTTTCACAAGGTAAATTTTGCTTAAAGTTATCTATATACCATTGGGCATATTAACTGAATTATAGCATGAAAAAGATACGTGAAAACATCTCTGAATTTTAAGAGATAGATGTGATAAGGAACCGTATATTAAATAACCAAAGGAACCGTATATTAGATAACCAAATCAAGAAAAGTACCATAAGTTAAATAACTAAATCAACCAAAGTAGGGCCAAATGTTACCAACTCACCACCAAGCATAGCTTGAGTGGTAGCTCCTCAACCTTCCAAAGAGGAGGTCAAGAGTTTTAAGTCCCAACTCCCAATTATGAGAAAATGGGTGCATGAGTATGTCTTACCTATTAAAAAATAAATAAATAAAAATGTTAAAATAAAAAGAAAAAATGAAGAAGTTATCAACTTAAAATTAGTTTTGGTAAGAGACAATGGATGATGGTGATGAATAAGATAAAATGTCAAACACAAAAACCACCTAAAATAGCAAATGATACCATATAAAGATTTCCACTTGGTTAGGACAAAAATTCAAAAATCCCACTAAATATAGAATGAAAATAAAAGTTAACCAAAAATATGTTAGTTTTACATTTTCCATTAAGGGGTAGATTTCTTGTTTTTCATATATATATATATATATATTTTTCCTATTGTGTATTATATAATTAGTAGAGAGTCCTACGTATTTTATGGGTTTTTACCATATAAAGTTGAATCAAGTGCCACTGAAGCAATACTTATTTTCTTCTCTACTGTGATTTTCTACCCACTCTACAATGATATCAGACCAAATTTGATGCATCTGAATCAGCGTATGTTGAGTTAATTGGCTCAAATGCATTGGTTATGTACGTGAGTATGATGTATGCAAGGCGGGTGACGTGTAACAAATGAAAAAGTGAGCTAATGAATCTGTGTACACATGATTGAAGATGAATATGTATGGTGGTGTGTGAAACAGTGTGCATTAAATGTATGGTTCATGGCCAGTGCATGAATGAATGAAGTCAAAGATTGTGTGTTATGAGTGCTGAAGACGGTGTGTTAAGGCGGCAAAGCTCGTCTATAAATATAGGTGTGGTATGTAGAGGAGAAGTGGAGAAAAAAGAAAGAATGGAAGAGTGAGTGAGAGAAAAAGAAGAGAGGAGAGAGTGGGGTGCAAAGAGGCACCAAGAGTAGAGAGATGTAGTCTCATACAAATCAGTGAGTGTGCGGGGGTAGAGATAATAAATGAGAGGGTGGAACACTGAAAGCGAGCAGGGGTCTGGTGGAGTTGTAGATTGCGAAAAGCTCGGGTATTCGGTACCATGCCTAAGCATTGAGTGCGTGTAAATGGTTTGGTGTTCAAAGTCTCTAAAAAAAAACGACAATTTTTTATTATTTTTTATTTTTTATTTTTTATTTATCTTTCACTCGTGTAAGGTGTACATTGTAATCAGCAATCACCTTTGAGTCTTTGACACGTCAAACCTCACACCTTGACCAGTGGACCTCACCCTTCCTCTTTCCTTATTCTCTCATGCTCTCTAAGATCAGTTGCCCTCCTATCGCCGAACGCTTCTACAATTTCTTCCCATCGCTGACCAGGCCCCAACTCATCCACCATCTCTCTCTCTTTCTCTCTCTCTCTCTTGACACAAACACTTACCATCCGCCAAGAACCCTAATTTTCAATTTCAGTAGTTGGTGATTAAAACTCTAATTTTCACAATCTTTGGTTCTGCAACTACTTCAAGTTCACATTCATGTCCAAGACTTCAACAAAGGCTTCATTAAAGGTGTAAGATTAAAGCCCTTTGTACAGGTATACGCTTATCTCTTATGAGGGTTCAAAATTTTGCAACCAAGTTTTAATGCAATTTTTTTGCAAGGAAAAAGACATTAAATTTACTTCTTTATATTTCGTGAATACCTTAAAATGTGATTGGCTAATTATATAAACCCATCTTTGAATCAATAATGGTTGATTACTTCTTTTGCTTATTACGATGGTATGAATTTTTTGATCTTGTAAACCCCCCTCCCCAACATAATTTTCCAGGTCCATCACTATCTGTTGGCATAAATTCTTCTTCATAATGAGAGTGGATTCTCTTCTCTCCGTCGACGTAAGCCAACCTGGGCCGAACCACGCTAAATATTGTGTTTCTTTAAATGTTTGTATTATTGTTCATTGTTTGGTGTTCGGATTTCCATTTTCTTTGTGTCTAGCTTCCACTGTGCTGAATGAAGGAGGGATTAATTCCTAACAAGTGGTATCACGGCTGATACAAAAGGGATTAATTCCTAACATTCTTTATCTTTTCTCTGCAAAAACTCTACCCCAAGTAGAGTAACACATATACACTAACAAAATATAACCGTAAAAAGGAAATGCTATATGTAGATCATGTGCGATTAATGTCAAACTAACTTCAGCATGCTACAAGTGCTGCCATTAGAAGGTTGTTGGCTAAAACATTCTACATAGATGGAATAAGTTTTAAATATTGGTATACAAACTAGCGTATTGATATAAGATCAATTAGAGCATCAAAATAGAACAAGTGGCAACAAAAATCAACATATCTCAGCAAATTATAACTGTCCAGTAAATATTTCAATGATAAACCAGACAATGTCAGAAAATTCTTTTGAAAACTCACACCAAAATCTTAAAATTTGGAATCAGAATGCATCATGTTTTAAAAAAATCATAAAACACATGATAGGCTCGTTTATCTAAGAATTGTAAGTCCAGTATTGCATAATTCTTTATGTAAGTTCACATTTACTCAATATGTGACAACCCACACACACACACTCATATATGATGTACCACATTCATTCTGATATAATATATATATAGAGAGAGAGAGAGCAATACCCAGACGGAAACAATAGCATCCAAAACCCAACCAAGCTGCCCAGTCATAGAAAGATAAGTCAACCCAATAGCCAGAGCAAGATTACCCAAAATCCTCCCAGTGTTATTGTTGTCTCCACCACCACCACCACCACCACCACTACCATTATTAAAACCCAATCCTTGATTGAACCTAACCACAATCACCCTCTTTTTCCTCTTCCAGCCCTCCTCTCTCACCAAAATTCCATCTGTACCCCCGCTCACTCCTATGAAAGACCATACTTTTTTAGAAACCCCTAGTTTGAAGTTCCTTTGGTGTAAAGAAGCAAGCTTTATTGTCGAGAGAGAGTAATAGTTGATGGGTTGTGATAATTTCAACCCAAAAGAGTTTAGTTTCTTGCTTGAATCATTGAGTAGAGAATTGAAAGCAGAAAAATTGATGGGAATCTGCGTGAGTGTTGTCATAGCATATATTCAAAGCGAACAACCTAAAATAGAGTGATCTTGATTAGTCTATGGAAGATTCATGGCTTTTTGAGTCCCTTAGAAGAAGATAAACACAAGCGGATTTTACTAGCTCCATATGAAGTAGATTCCAGAGAAAGACCAAACAGCAACCCCCCTCTCCCTCTCCCTCTCTCGCTATCTGATTTTTCATCCATACGTGGCTTCACATGAGTTGGACCAGGGATGCCCAGGCCCACTAGCGAAGTTCTACCTTTCTCATTGTGGATATTATTCCATTAGTTTATTTAATTATTTTTGGGTTTATATAACTATATATTAGTAATTTATTTTACTTTTTTTTTTATATATTATTCACATTCACCTCGTCAGAGAAATTATTATATATTTCTGAAGGCTGGCATGAACACACTCCCAATACAGTTTCATATATACAATTTTACCTACCCAAAAAAAAAAAAAAAAAATTCAGTGAATATTCTTCTAGTGATGTGAAAACTCAAACAACGTTGCTTATAGTTCACTAAGAACTTAATCCATAAAGTGTAAATTTTGTGTAATTTAAAACTCTAGTAGGAGGCATCTTCTTATAAGTGCCAAGAGTTATGAATGTCACTTAAATCATATTAATTATCTTTAGAATGACAATGTGTAAATTTGCCTGAGCTTTTTAAATGGTGAAAATTGTATATGAACAATCCTTTGCCTTCTAAGATCCAATTTCATAACAATAAAACTCATTATTAGCTTTACCACACCTTTCCGTTTGTACTTAAGAACAGTGGATTTGATTAAAAGTTGGCTATTGTACTTCATCACTCTATGATATTTGCGCTTCTAAGATCCAATTTCATAACAATAAAACTCATTGTTAGCTTTACCACACCTTTCTGCTTGTACTTAAGAACAGTGGATTTGATTAAAAGTTGGCTATTGTACTTCATCGCTCTATGATATTTTAACTCTCTCTAAATCAGTGTATTTGGGCTTATAAGAAATGATACATAGACATATACTGTTTGCATTTGGGGCTAATTAGGATGTCCAAATGATTTTAATTATAATGAACCCATTTCATATTTTGAAGTTGTATATTAAAAAAATCCAGCTCTTGCTCTTGAGGACTTCTTATCATTCTGTCTACCCAATATGAAAGATTTGCTCTTCATCATAGATTTACAGAGAGCAGTAATTAGAGGTGAGTGTACTACCATATTTACTAATGTAAAGTTAAAGAACAACCCTGTATTAAGAAACAATTAAAGAATTAAGCCAAAACATTCTCCTTGGTAGGTACTGCTTTTCCGACCTTATGAGCCTAAGATCTTTCCCATTCGGAGCCAATGTATGACAACTGACAAGACCCTCCTCTAACACATTGCCTGTAAAAAAAATATGATTGACAACAAAAATTAATCCAAAACTTTCCCCTCTTAGTGTTGCCAATTATGAGAGTTTTCTTCAAGGCCATACAAAACAAAGAATGAAATTTTAGAACACAGAACCTGGATAACCAAATACTTTCCAAGGAAAAGAAGCATCACTCCTCCACATAAAATACTTATAGCAAGTACTAACCAATAAATATCTTTTTTTCCTAGTTGGTATTCACACACACTTGTCTCTTTTGGACTTGAACCCTGATCTCCCTTTGGAAAGTAAGAGACTGATACCGCTGGGCCACTAGCCCGTTGGTAACCAATAGATATCAGTTTTGCAGCTTACCACCACCACAATTCTCCCCAACTTGCAGAGGAACCACATTCATGTCAAAGAAACCATCAGCAGACTCACTCCTGCTCCATCCACTGCTCTGACAAATCAACGATCCCACACACTGTTTATTTGATCCGAACATATAATTTGGCACAAAAACATATTTACCCATCATGCTACTAGCAAGACCAGGAACTATTTTTTGTAGGAGTATTAATGCAACAAATATTATGCCAGAAACAAACCATCTGCACATTGCCTCGCCACAAAAACCAAAGAGAAGCACCGTCCTGCATCTTCCTCGTTCTTGGCCATGAACAACCACCTCTCCAACACCACTCTATATATCCTTCACGGATACAGGCATGACCTACACAATCCCAGACAATGAGAAAAGAAGACTCCACAGGTCTAACTCCACTAAACTGAAAAAGAGTTTAGACAAGTAATCCCAGACATTACGTTTACATTTCCATGGCTTTGATTTGAACAAATAATAGAGGGAACTCTCATAGGGTGGTAAGTTGGAAGACACTTGTAGCTCCTTTAAAGTCGGGAGTCTGGATGTGGAGACCAAATTTTCAATAAAATATTACTAGTAAGATTTTCTATTGAAATATTTACTGAAAAAAGAGATTTTCTATTGAAAGAGTTGTTTGTGGAGGCAAACTATTGTGGGGAAGAATGGTGGGCTCTAGTCTTTAGGGGTAATTGGTTCTCTAAGGAGAGGCTTCAGTGGCATAAACTTTAACCTATTGCGTTTAAGCTGCTACTTGCAAGTTTTAGTACATTTTGTTCTGTCCTGAAATGAAACTAGAACAAACAATACTCCAGACAATTTCATTTTTTTACCAGAATCACAACCAATATTGGCACAGCCTTTTCATTCTAGATCCAATTGTGAAATGTGCCTTTTCACCTCTATTTGAACAAGCAGCACGAGAAATAATATGCTTCCACCATTCTAACAGGTACCAAGGGATAAGTTCATATATTATTTGAGATGTAAAGAAAACGTTCATTTCTTTGGAAAAAATACACGCGCCACAGAAAGAAGAAAATTTTGTCACGTTCACATACAAAGTTGCATTTGCAGGAAAAAAATGGCTCAAAAATACAATAACAATTCTACAATGATAACCATAAGCACAAGGCGGGAATACTGACATTGCCAAGACCATGCAGAACAAACTCCACGGATTCTTCTTGAGGCTTCCTCCCGCTTCAGCAGATATAATATTTGACCCACTCAACATCTATTGCTATATAATCAACTAACAGTGTTCTGGTTCCAGAGTTAAACAGCTTATTGTCACTGCAAATTCAACAAAAGCTCCACAGTAGACAAAACAAATGAGCTATCCATGTAAATCTCGAAAGGAACCAATTTCTGTGTGTGGGTAAAATCACTAAATGAAATTACCAAGAATCCATGCAGAGCTACTTGCATTCTTCTCAAAATGCTTCATCCCAACTAATAAAAGCTACTTCTGGGGATATAGGCTTCTACCACCCCAACCCTTTTTGGCTATATTGGTCACTGCCAGAATCAACAAAAATTTCATAGTAGACAAAACAATGGCCTACCGAAGTCACCTCCAAGTAATCTATTTCTTGCCGAGTCACCGTATAAGCACCTAGGTTAGATTCACACAAAAAGAGTGCACCTAAGAAGCAATGGAAAGCCAACCTTTCAGTATCCTTCCATGAAAGTGTGTGCTTGCTTCAGAATTATCCATGCTAATGAAGCAAGTGCCTGAAAGCCAATCCATTAAGAATTGTAGCTTGTCAAGAAAGTATTTTGTTGTCCAACAGACACGCGATTCCTGCCCCTGCCTCTTCGTGCACTGGCAATGTTAGCGGTCAAGGAGTTACCCAAGAGTCCTAAAGCATTAGCTCCCATTAGCTTCAAGCCAAGATTTTCTAATAAAAATGATAATCTACTCTTATCCCCTCCAGTCACCAATTGTAACTGATATGCCTGTTCACGAGATAATACCGTATAAAGCTGCAGTGGTTGGCTTAAAGAATGTTGACAGCTGTTCTCTGTCTCCCTTTTGTTACAATCCTCGCTGCTAAATTCACTACTGGACTTTCCAAAGGTAACCCTCACAAGCCCCATTGATTTCGGGTCCTCTGTCGAAGGATAAAATATAAACGAGAACTTTCCAAATGCTAGATCAGGCTTCCTGAACAGTTTTACTAGAATATCAGTATTTGGACCAACACTCTTTTGTATGGACTTCCTAGGATCACTTGGCCGAGTCCTCATGGCTCGGAAAATGCATGAAGCTTCTCTTAAACCACTCAAGAAGGCACCATGCATGCTGGCTGGGTGTTGCCGATTCGTAGCTTCACCAGCAAAGAACAGCCGGCTCCCCACGCTTTCTGCAAGTACATCATAATCACTGCCAGATGATTGTACTCTGACATGAGAGTACGAACCATGCGAAAGCGGATCACTGCCCCATCTTGTACATATAGTTTGTACAGGATTAGGTACATCAATGCCCTTTGGACTGTATATACCTGTGAAAATAGCCATATGGATCATAGAAGTACACCCAATGGAAGATTTCTTAAGGGAGAGGAGAGAAAATAAATAAATAATAAATAAAAACTAAAAAAAGGGACACAAAACACACATACAAACACTTCAAAGAGGACAGACAGACAACACAACTATGGAACATATTAATATTCTGCCACCTGCTGTTTAAAGATGTGTAGTACCTCTGAGGATGCTTAAAACATGATGAAGCAAACTGGATGGATCCATGTATTCAAAAGATTGTGCAGCTTCCCCGGCTACCAGTGCAATAAGTACTGGACCTCCAGAAACAGTGTGGTAACTGTAAAACAAAAAAAATTCTCCCCTTTTATGGCTATACTCATTAAGACAGCCAAATGTGTCCAGGTCTTCCCCCCAAAAAACATAAGGGAACACCATTGCAACCTTATTCAACAACCCAAAACCCAATCTTTCAATAGCTGCAAGCTTTCTTGCAGGTAACTCTGGTTCGAATCTGATAGTCTTTTTCTTCAGAACCCCAAGAGGCACAGTGCAGAGCACCATATCTGCTTGAAACATTTGGTCCCCAGCAAGGACCTCAACAACTTCATTTCCATATCTAATAGTATGAACAGTCTTTCCATAAAAAATGGGGACTCCCTCGCACAATGCTTTAATTAGTCTCCAATTTCCACCAGCAAGAAAGCAATGATCACCTCCCATCTCATAAGGATCATCCTGATCCCAATAGGCAGCAGATAGATTCAACAAGCATCCGGCATTGGCATATTCCAAGTTGGCAAAATGCCATTCAAGAAGTTGTCTTTCTTCAGTATTTCTAGCCACCGCATACAATTGTCTAAGTGTCTCCAAAACTGTACCCAAAGAGATATCATTTGCAAATCCACCCATTATTTGTCTCAATTCGGTGACTTTGTCAAGTAGCTTATTAAAGATGAGCTCAACATTGGAATCAATTTTGTGATCAACAAGTGTACCGTCAGGCTTGTACAGTGGGCATTTATCTCTAACCTTATGAAGAGGAATGGAGAGTTGTCTAGCCAAAACTCCCAGAGGATTGGCATGAATACCTGTTATAACACTGCCACCAAGATCTACGGCAGCATAGTTACCTTTACGTCCCATCTTCTGAGTATAAACTCTTCCCCCAGGTCGATTCCTACCTTCAAGTACAACGACCTTGAAACCATACAACAAGAGTTGCCTTGCTGCCGCTAATCCAGCAAGGCCAGCACCAACAATTATTACAGACCCTTCAGTAGCATCCTCTGGAATTTGGGACGTGAACGCCGGCGAAACCCCAAAATTTATATAACCGTTGTGTAAAAGAAAGTCATAAGCTGAATATATCAAATGTTCATACTCACTACTCACTGTTTCCTTTATCTGTCCTTTTGAGAGCCACATCCGTACATTATCCCTCCACTTTGCAAGAATATGGTTCCTCACAACAATATAATCATTTTGCTCTTTCCCACCCAATTCCTCCACAACCCCGGCTTGAATTTCCTCTTCCAGCAATGCATCAATCGGAAAGCCCAGAGAAAGAGCAATCATTGCCTCAGTTTCAGTTTCTTTCTCCAAATCTTCCTTAGTTCTGTTCCTTTTCCTCAGAGAAGCACCCAAATGCTTATCTATGAGGTCATCCATCAAATTCTCATCATAATTCCGCGAAACCGCTCTCTTTCTCAATGGTCGCTTTGCAACCGAACCACCACCCATAGCAGTGGTCTCTATCATCGTGTATCAAGAACTCCCCCCGAGTCTTTCAACTCAAATTCAAATAAATTGACCTTGCAAGCCCATTAACAACCCAACTAGCCATTTCACTTCAGCACCACTGTGCATATCTAACTATAAACAACTGGGCGTTTTCTCCATCATTTTCTTGGAACCCATTAACAGAAACCACTATTCTTCTTCTGTTAACCATCTTTTATCAGAATGACTCCAATTACAAAGAAACACAAGTATGGAAAATTCATGGTAATTCACGTTCTCAAACGCAAATTGGTGTATCACACAAGAAAACCCTAGATTTCATCAAACTTACTGAGTGAGACTTGACTGTAACAACACAAAGACACCATAATATGATATGAACAAATGAATTTATGTCCTTATTTTCGATTTGCTTGCAACAACAATACAGTGAAAGATCTCTAAAAGAAAAACTAGTTTGTTCATAGGAGAGGAATCGCAAGAGGTAGGGAACGTACCGTTGGGATCCGAAGTTGAATCGCTGGGTTGAATTTTTTAGAAGCGGTTGATTTTTTGAGTTAGAGTGGAGTTAGGGTTTTTTTCTGGTGCGGTCCTGAATAGCGTGTTGGCGAGTTAACTCAGTGAATTAGAAATTGTTGGAGGGAACTGTTCGATATTGGTGGACTGGACCGGCTAGTGGCTGGGTAGTAGGCCCATTATTATGGGCCCGGAAGTGGATTCAGAGAGAGGGAGGTTTGGCAAAAGAACATATTATTGAGGCCCAATTAGAAAATTGAAAAAAGTTACTGTGACTTCTAGGCCTGAAGGGTTTTTTTTATATCGCTTCGAAAATGAGACATTTATTCTAATGCCAAGAAATAAGGGGTAGCTACTATGGAGTATACCACCTTAGTCGCATAGAGCGGGAGCAAATGAAAGAGCAAAATTATAAAAGCGGCAAAATCTAAAATTTAGTTAGTGCAGGAGTGTCTTGAGAGCTCTAATACACTGGTATAACAGTGAGAGTGAGTATAAGAGTGGGATAGCGAAAGCTGTCTCAAGAGCGCTAATACACTTCTATATTATTGTACGTGTAATCTTTTTCTAATATTTGTATATATCCTAAATGCAATTATATACTTTGTGAAACAATAAAAATGTAATTTCATAAGCACTATAAAATGTGTTTGAACTTTAAGAAATCTTATTTCTTTTATGGAGAAACATAATAATAGTAATAATTAAAATAAAAAATTATAGTATTTTTTTTTATTATTAAAATGCGACCTTAGAAATCTATATATTTATTTTAAATTCTTAAAGAGATCATTTTTAATTTTTTGTACACGAAATAATTACTTTGAACAATTATAAAGTAATAAACTTTCTAAACAAAGTAAAACTAAAACTAAAAATATCTATATGAATGGTGCTTCTTTTTTTTTTTTTTTTTTTTTTTTTTTTTTTGGTGTCTATATATTGCATACACACACGTTAAATATATTTAGACTTAAATAATGAAACAAAATTGATCAGTATGAAACGCACATCAATATGATAAGAATTTGTTAGTCGTCTTTAATATTTTAGGTATTTTCTTAGTTCTCACATTTTAAACCCATTTTATACAATACTAGATATATTTTGAAAATTGTCATCCATAATAAATGTCAAATGTTGTTCATAATTCAATGAATGAGAAACTGTTGTGAATTCGAAAATTCTCAAATTGAATGCGAGAATTGAAAATATTGAATTCACGAATTGTGCAAGAATTTGTTCTTAAAAGAGTTAATTCGCGACTAATAAATCAATGGTCTAACAATACCAAGTCTCTATTTTTAAAAAAAAAATTAAGAGTTCGATCCTCAATGAAAATATATATATTAGAGTACCAATTATGAAAAAAAAAGAATTAATTCGCACGCAAAGTAAGAAGAAAGCGACACCCATAATTGTGACTTACTAATATACTTATGTTTCATTTAATGCATTATTCATCGATACTCCCGAAAACCCAATACCTATGTTTCATCTAAAATTAGAGCAACTAATATGACTGCACACCTCTGTGAAAGAGTATGTTGTCAATATAGGTTGTTTGTTAGTTCGTATAGTAATTTTTTATCCCCTTAGTTTGTCTATATATATATATATATATATTTGGTTTTATTCTTGCAAACAAAGAGGAGCGGGAATTTGAATGCGGCCATAATTCGCGGAAATGAACATTCTGCCAACTAAGTTATAGGAAACTAGATTTAATAGAAATATGTGATTGCCAAGACTTGTCTGAACTTTCAACCTAATATTACAGTCCAAGTGAGTTTAGAACATGGAATACCTCAATGCTTCGCATTGTTTTTGACCGTTAATGTTTTGAAATTATCATAAGAGCAACTCCATTACTCTCTCATTTGGGCCTCTCAAACTCAAAATATAAGAGTTGGATAAAAAAAGGCCTCTTCAATAGGCTCTTATTTGAGCTCTCAAAATTTGAAATTCTCAAATTTCTTCTCGTATATGGCAGCTGCCAAATTTTTTTGGCAAGTCTTTCATTTTTCAAAACGGCGCCGTTTCTCACCAGTTATCACCCACTCGCATATCTATATGTATATGTATATATATATATATATAATATATATATAAATTTTTGAAAAAAAAATTATATAAAAAAATTAATTCACAAATAGTGGTAAAAAAATAATAAAATTTTTGTTTTTTTTATCCTTTTTTGACCAGATATTTTAGATTTGCACTTCTTTTTAATCAGGTAATTTTAGTTTCCTTCTAATGTCTACAACTTGACTTGGAATGTGCCTGATATTAATATTACTGATGCAAATATGAATAGTGAGAATGGGAGTTGAAAAAGAACAGTGGCTGTGTTAAAGAATAGTATTTTGCATGAAATGTACCATTGGAGCAGAATTGCTAAAATGTAGCATTTTAGCACCGTAACACTTGTCAAAATATAGATTAGGCATGCGAAAATAGGTTTTAGCATTGGAGATGCTCTAATACCCTTTTACTTTAATTTTCTTATATTGATTTCTAGTATGTCTTTTTCCTTATTTAATAAAAGGAATAATATCACTTACCTCCCCCAATGTTAGACCTAATTACACATAATACTCTTAATGTTTCAAAAATTACAGTGACCTCCTTCAAGGTTAGCTCAACGCCAGTCAATAACCTTTTTTTCTACTGATGTCAGAACTTTTTAAGTATGAAATACCATCATGTATAGCCTTTAAAAAATTGTAAATACATTTACACCCTAATTTTTAAATTGAAAATTACTACTGGAAAAGAAATTACACTCTAAAACCTCATGGTTTTGTTGTGAACATGGTTAACTCTTCTCTCTGTTTATACTTAATATACCAGTCACTCTATATGAAAAGAAATTACACTCTAAAACCTCATGGTTTGTTGTGAACATGGTTAACTCTTCTCTCTGTGTATACATAATATACTACCCACTATATATATATATATATATATATATATATATATATATATATATATATATACTGGTCACACTACCTATCCCTCTCTCTCTTGATCTATACATGTGTATATATAACAAAGGTCCAAAAAAAAAAAAAAAAAAAAAGAAGAAGAAGAAGAAGGAGGAAGATTACACACAACAAGAAGGGGGGGAAATTGGGGAAAATCAAACTGAAGATGAGGTCATTCAATATACATAGATTCAATTGAATGACAATAGGTAAATCACCAACGAAATTGGAATTAAATTCTCTGTTTTAAACATAAGCGCAGGATTTTCAACGAGGTTTCTGATCACAGAGTTGTCTTTGTTGACTTTTGCTTTCAAATACCACTTTCTAGTTTTGCTTTGATACCACGTTGTTGGAAATAGTGGTCTAGATACACACAACACTCAATAATATTTTGGAAGAGAATGACATGGAGGAATACTTAGAAATTTTTTTTATTCCACTAATTCAAATTATTTTTCTACTCATTCAACTTTTCTCCCTACATAAAATAGGTATAGTACATGAGTTTATATAGGCTTTAAGACATATGTAACCAATTACATTTCAATGCCCAATTACTCCCACTAATCCCACTAACATGGTATTTAGTAGACTTAACTCTCATGTCTTCCACTAACACAAATACAAACTCCCACTAACATAGTATTTAAGAAACTTAATTCCCATACATCTTAGTCTTACATAACCTTCTTCATCAAGATCATTTACTACCCCACTAACATGAAATGTATGCATGCATCATGTATACCAAATACTTGAAAATATAAATTACAACTAAAATTCTAAAATCAAGTTTATTTTCAACACCCCCCTTTAAACTTGATTTTGTGACTTGAAAAAACTTCTTATTGATCTTGGGGCTTGATCAAAAGTTTGTTGGTTGGTCTTGAGTTCCACCTCCTTCAATTGCTACAATTTTCTTAGCCATTTCTATTGATGTGTAGGGCTTGTGAAACTTCTTCAAATGCTTGAATAATGCCTTCTCATAATTAACTTTTATCTTCTTCACATGGGCGCACAATCTGTTTTCTCTCTTCTTGAATTCTTGAAATTTCTTGAACTTCTTATGTGCTTCTTCTTTGGAATCAAAAACTAACTCCATATTTACTCAACCTGTGTCAATTACAAAATTCTCCAAACCATTTTTCAAAAAACAATTTGAGAATTTCTTATCATCTTGAGCTTCAATCTCGTACTTCTTTGGAACAACTTTTTTTAAAAGAAGTTCGTCATTCTCCACAATATGAACATAATTTTCATAATATTTGATTTCTTTTTCCAATTGAGATGAATATGAATAAATCATAATTTTATCAAATAATTCAAATACAACTTCTTTCAAGGTGGAATTTGTAACCATAACTGAAGATGTTAATGCACCAAATTCATCAACTTGTGCATCTTCTTTAACACTTTCTTCTCCTTTGTCTTCTCTTTTAACTTCATTCTCCTCCACTTTTTTAATCCATTCTTCAACACATTTCTTTACCTCTTCCTCATTCACCATTTCAAGTTGTTCTTCAACTTGATTTGTGTTGTACGCCTCTTCATTCTCCATACCTTTGTCCTCAAGACTTTCATAATCAGCCTTCGTAAACTCATCATCCTCAAAGCATTGTGCCCAATACTCCATGGGTAGTGATTCACCTCTATGATTGGAAACGATGGTCTCGAGTATCTTCCAAACACAACTTGGAGTTTTGGACTCTCCAAAATACTCCCAAATTTCTTGATGTATTGCCTTTTGAAACACTACCAATGCCTTTTCTTCTTTCTTTTCACGAAGCTTGTTGGACGTGTCATTCTTTGGCTCTAATCCAACAACATCCCACAAATCACATGTGTAATACCCCGTATTTTATTAAAGAGTTTAGTTTATTTAAATTCATTTATGTGAGGATTTCTTTACTTATTATTGTGCATGCTACATTATTATATTAAGTTCATTTAATGGTGCATGTAAAGTAATTGTGTATGTTAAAATAGTAAATTTATTCATTTAATTGTGCATGTATTATTATTAATAATTTTATTTGTTGGTTATGTTTATATTAATCATTATTAGTTAATTAAAGTATTATATTTG